AAGCGCCAATCACCAAATGAACTAAAGACGAATAAATCTCATTTCCATTCTCTGGCATGTGGTCAATTACAAGTGAGCAGTGAATCCAATAACCTCTGTACACGTATAGATAAGTGGTCACCACAAACACGCTCTGCCGCCTACATGGTATTGCGGAGGGTGGAGTTGAACTGGGGTTGTTAGACTGTAAAGGTTGCCTTTTGGCTCGAAACCCACGGTTGACAAGGATCATGGTGGGGCTTTGGGGGATATGAGACAGAAATCCTGGCCGACTAGACTCCCCCAATTGACAATCCTGGTGGAAATGGCGGATTTAGCAGTCGTCTCACCTGTAGCACCGCAAATTCTACCGTGTCTGTGTCTGTACGCATGAATTGGCTGGTAGAAGTGAAGATTGGTCTAGACCCGGATGAGGGAAAAACGGTCTCATTTGCATATGTCGAATGTGAGTCGACGGGAGGCATCAGAGTGGCCTTTTGCAGTGCCGACGGAGGGTAGAGCCGCTTACCTAAAGCGCAGTACTCCCTACCAAATGAGGGTCCACACTGAAGTGTAATTCATGCCTTCGTCTGTGAGAAGAAATCCTCTGCATAGTTCTGGCCATGAAGTGCAACTCTTCCACGTGGATGAGGCTAAATTGAAGAGCACCCTCTGTGGCACTAAATTTCTGTCATTTACTCTAATTCCTCGTTTGTTAGAGCGTCTCATGCGACTGAAGCCACTAGGTGGAGTAGACCAGTGCGTATATATCAGCCACTTATTTACTTTTTATTTTCCTGTCTTCTTAACTTCCCATCTCGGCTGCATACCACATGTTGATTTGACCTCAGCAGTCATCTGGTTGGAAATACCAGTCGGAAATTTAGCCGTGCTTACCCAGGCAGAACGGTTTCATGAACTTGGGCCGAGATATTACTGAAATCCAGTGCTCAATGCTCTACTGTGGGCTCTGACCCAACGGGCCCATCATGACATGGGCTGACAGTGGTGCTTATCCTTTCGTTATGGTCCCCGGTGTCCTGATGAAACTCGAGAATTCCAATCTTTGAGGTGATGTTCTCCACGGCCCTCGAATCATAAGTAATCTCGGAGGGACACAAGAGAAAGATCTAGAAGGAGCGAAGAAGGGTCCTTAACAATTTCATATATCTACGGATCGAAATTTGCAAATACGCGAGTTTACTCGTTAAATGTTTCATTGTGGGAAAATTCAACTACAAGTCCTTCATCCCCTTAAACGCAAGAGGATGAACACTTCTCATATAATTGACTTACCGGTAGTCTCAAAACCGTGCATACAAATAAAAAGTAAGGTATATAGACCCAAAAATCTGAACTTGCCCAACAAACAGCTAATAAATGGCACGGAATAGACACATTACACACACACACACACACACTCAACGTTTTGCAGGCTACGGAAAGTTGACATCCAAGCACAAGATTAAGGATCCCATTGAAATTGACAAAACAGTCAACATGCTGAATGGGATGAACGAATGTATGAAACTGAAGGCGAACTAC